AAACACAATCCCCTTCAACTAAGGAAGAAAGGGATCGCATGAATAAGATTCCATATGCATCTGCAATAGGATCTATCATGTATGCCATGTTATGTACTCGACCAGATGTCTCGTATGCATTAAGTGCAACGAGTAGGTACCAATCTGATCCCGGTGATGCTCACTGGGTAGCTGTCAAGAATATCCTTAAGTACTTGAGAAGGACTAAGGATTCATTCTTGATATATGGAGGTCAGGAAGAGCTTGATGTAATTGGTTACACTGATGCTAGCTTCCAGACAGATAAGGATGATTTTAGATCACAATCTGGTTATGTGTTCTGTCTCAATGGTGGCGCTGTGAGCTGGAAAAGTTCAAAGCAAGAAACAGTTGCTGATTCTACAACTGAGGCCGAGTATATTGCTGCCTCAAATGCAGCAAAGGAAGCTGTTTGGATCAAGAAGTTCATTAGTGAACTTGGCATAGTCCCTAGCATTGTGGATCCCATTGGTTTATATTGTGATAACAATGGTGCTATCGCACAAGCTAAGGAGCCTAGATCTCACCAACGATCCAAACACATACTTAGGCGTTATCACCTCATTCGAGAGATAATCGATCGGGGAGATGTGAAGATATGCAGAGTACCTACACTTGACAATATCGCTGACCCATTAACAAAGCCTCTTGCGCAACAGAAGCATGATGGTCATACTAGATCTATGGGTATTAAGGGTATGCCTAATTGGCTCTAGTGCTAGTGGGAGATTGTTGGTGTAAGCCCTAGAGGCCAATACTTTTTGGTACTTGTATCGGATTATTCGTTTAATAATAAAAGGCATTTCTTTATTATGTTTGTCTTTCAGAATAATAAAGTCCCTAGAATAGTTAGTCTGTTTAATGAAATGTTAAGTGTGACTTAATCATGAGATCCCATTAAACATAAAGACATTATTCTTAAAATATCCGTAGTCAAGCTTTATTGCAAAGTGGGATAACATTAAAAGCATTGAGACTATTATGAAGATAGACTGATGATCACATCTCATGGATTATGGATAAAGAGTTATCAAGTCTTGACATAGGTATAAATATTAGGAGTAATATTTATACCGGAATGACCCGCTATGAGAATACTACATAGTATGTTATGCAAAGTGTCATAAGTTATTCTCATGGTGATAATGGTGTATTACCACCCTTCGACCTGAAACCACTATGGACCCTAGATGTAGAGTCGGGTGCTTTATTGCTGATCAAACATTATCCGTAACTGGATGATCATAAAGACAGTTGATGGGCACTCCACGAAGCATGCTGAGGGACATGAGTGTCCTAGATGGAATTTGCCAATCCTGCATAACAGGAGAAATGTCTAAGGGCCCAATATTGAACTGGACAAGGATGACACAGTGTATGCCTTGTGTTCAATATAGACATAGGGGCAAAAGGGTAATTGTACAAACATATATTATCACGAAAAAGGTTTTGTCAGATCACATGACATTTTCGTGACTTGGGTAGCAGTGATGTGTTGCTAGATACCGCTTACTGTTTATTATGTTAAATATATAATTTAATATAATTACCAACGTTACGAAATCCTACAGGGTCACACACATAAGGACAGTTTGATGAGAGATAGAGAAATCAAAGGAACACCGTAAGGTACGGTGCACTTAAGTGAAAATAGAAATTCGGATACTATAATAATAATTATTGTTATTTTATAATGGTTATAAAATAATAATAAAATAAATATATTTATTATAATAATAGTTATTATAATAATATATAATATTATTATGGATCATGTGAATTGGGTTTTAGCCCGCAGCCCACAAGAGAGTCTATAAAAGGAACCCTTGTGATGAAGCTTTCACTTGATGCAATTTCGTTTTTGATTCTTTTTCTCACTCAAATAATTCCGTTCGTAAGCAGCTAGCACTGTGACCGGAAGCTGTTCGTGTGGACTGAGTAGAGGCGTTGCACCTCATCAACGCTTGTGATCGCTGCATCAAAGATCTGAATCGCCACAAAGAGGTAACGATTCTATCACTGACCATGCTCATTCGTGAGGATCACTAAAGGAAAATTTTTGTTTTCCGCTGCGTTTAGATCGCAATTTTCCTTCATATAAATCTCTGCGACATCTCTCTAACTTTTACTCTTGCATTTATATTTGTGGTGATTGCATGCTACGTTTTTCAATTCATCGTATTATATTGTTTTGTTCTTAGTAGCAATTTATTACATAAAGCTTAGGTTTTGTTGGAATTGGACAATTAGTCAAGTTGGTATTATAAATGATAAATCTAAAAATGAATTGAATTTAGGATTCCACATTAAATCAATTGTGTAAACTTCTTATGGCTACACAAATTAAACCAATTCATACCAAGCGTTTCATCTCTATAATCTTGCATATTTGTTAAACAAACTGTGTTGGCTTGATCATATTCAATTTTATAATTTTCATGTTCGCTTCAAACCTTCCGTTCGTAACTCATTTTTAAAAACACTGTGATTTTGGAAAACGACGATTGTTTTTTAATTTGGGTCTATTCACCCCATCTAGACTATTTTTCTACTTCCATATTCTCACCCAACAGAGGTAAATGATACAAATATATTCTTTAATATGATTAGGAAATAGGAATATAACCAGGTGGGCCAACCGTTGCTTATTCTTTTTATTTTCTTTCACTGGTTGAACCACTTCTTAGGGAACGAATGCCCAATATATTGAGTTTCCTAGTGAACAAAGAGACATTGATCTCCATGGTTATGCATTTTCTCTGATCTTTTTCGAGAGCCTGGTATATTCTTTTTTCTCTCTATAGGTCAGTGATGATGGTGGATGGTTCCCCTTGGAAGTTGTGTTATTTGAGCATGAGGTGTACCAGAAATGCGACAACATCCAGCATGGCTGCGAAGGGTGGTCCTAAGATGAAAATTTAAACACTCATGCAAGGAACAGTTAGTGGTTCTGTTGAACGCCTAGAGATTGGATCATTTGTATAGCGACAAACTGCTTTGGTCCAATCCCATCTTCTCAAGCAACTTTGAGTACATAATGCCACAGGAGATGCTGTCGTCAATGAGGATCTGGGACATGTTGAATTGCCCAACCGTAACAGTGATTACCAGGTGAAAGATTTTGTTTGGGAACACCCCTGATCTTCTCTAAGTCTCAGAATCCGAACATAGGTCGGTCAGGGACTTTTTCCAAAGTACTTCCTTATTTGTAGTGGAATACCATCATTTATGCAATTTCATATTCATAATGCCTTCTGAGGGATGGTTCGCTCAGGGTGCCCCCTAGTGATGGCACTAATGTAAGGGTTTTTCTCTTGCTTGCCTTTTTGCTCTCTCCACTTGTTCCAGCCTCTGTGGTCTTCGAGTGAGACTTACTTTTAGGCGACTCCTGTCTATCCCACTTCTCGCCTTTGATATATTCAATTAGAGGGCCCCTATTGACCAATCCTTCGATGGTGTTCTTTAGTTAGATGCAATCGTCGGTGTTGTGGTCGTGGCTCTTGTGGAAGTAGTAATACTCTATTTTATCTGTCTGAGATGTCTCTCTAACGGGGTAACGAGGTCGGACCCCTCCTTTTTGAAACTCACTATTTTTCGCAATCTTGATAAATTTTCTCCCGGGAAACTGTCAAGGATATGTACCTGTAGTACTTCCCTAGCATACGCAAGTTAGAGTCGTGTCGACGCTGGTGGGCTCCTTCTCGTCCAGGTGACTGGAGTGGGACACGCTAGAGGCAAACTTCTCCTTTAGGAGCATCTAAGGTTCAACCATGATTAACATTTTCTAGACAAAATTTACTTTCTTCGTCCCTAACTTCTGCCTGAATGAGTGGTATCTTTGAAGGTCATTCTCAAAGATCCAAGACTAACGACTTTTTTTTGGGAACCTTCCACCTTGACCGTGACCTGTGTGAATCACTCTAAGTAAGACCGCAAGCTCTCTTTCTTTCTTTGGATGATTGCGCTCATGAGGCTTCTGTTATAGGCCGTCGCTTTTGGACTGTGAAATGCGCATAAAATTTCTCATAGAAGTCTGCCCAACAATCAATGCTTTTGTCTGGCAGACCATTGAACCACAACCGGATCGGCCCCATCAAGGTTAACATAAATAATTTGCACTTTGAAGCATCATTGACGCTGAAGTAACTCAACCAATCATTTACAAGCTGCACATGTTTGTCAAGATCTCCTTTTTCGTCGCACTCTCTTAACTTAAGTAAATTCTCCATGGACTTCAGGATCTTACACTCCAGAATTTCTATGGACAACAAATACTTCGATTGTACCTTTCTCAAACAAATTTCTGCTTAAATTAGAGAAAAAAACGTGACTGTCTCGATCTCCTATAGAATTTTGAGAAATAGTTTGAGACTTATTGCTCTTATGTCAATGGCAAAATGGGAATTATTGTTTAACTATTTTGATTTTTTTTCTATTTTGAAGACAACAAAACTTAAAACGGTTTTAAAAACAATTTCTAAAAAAATATAAACCAAACAAATTTTTAAATAAAAAAAAGGAAAAACAAAAGAAAACAGTTAATGAAAAACCAATAAAACAGTTTTAAATTCTATGGTCGTAATCATTTAGAGCAATTTTATTCTTCGTAATCCTTTGTCACCATAGAAACCCTCTCTTCGATGAAAGGAGAAGGCAGGCACAAAACACAAGTCCTCAGACTGAGCACCGCCCCCCTGCCTGTTTGCTTAAAACAAACCATTTCATTCAAGCACTTATCCTCCCCATCATCAATCAACCACCGTTATTATTTTAATACACCTCCTTTTTTTTCTTTATTCCATTTTCTATTATTATTATTATTATCAGTAGTGCTATTATTTTCCGTATAAGGTCGCTTTTTCTTCAACGTTACTTATAGTTACCGCATCAACCTCTCACATCTCCAATACTAATTTATTCTCAGTTTCGCATTCTATCAAACACCCTCCGTGCACTCAACTCTCTTTTTTCTCCTCCAATCCATGGCGTCACCAACAGCTCTCTACCAAATCCAATCCCTTTTTCTCTATAAAAACAATCACCCCCGCCTCTCTGTTTCCCAAACTCATCCATTTCGTTCCAATTTCTTCTTGCAAAGGAAGTTATCATTCGAGGTGCCAAGGATGCCGAGGAAAGAAACGGTTGTTGTGTCTGCGACGACGGCGGAAAAGAAGCGTCATCCCGGTGAGGCGAAGGGGTTCGTGGAAGAGATGAGGTTTGTGGCTATGAGGTTACATACCAAAGACCAGGCTAAGGAAGGTGAGAAAGAAGTTAAAAAGCCGGAAGAGAGAGCCGTGACTAAGTGGGAACCTACTGTTGATGGATACTTGAGGTTCCTTGTTGATAGCAAGATTGTTTATGATACTCTCGAGAAGATTGTTCAAGATGCTGCTTATCCTTACTGTAACTTTCTTTTTCTTTATCTCATTTGTTACTCTATTTCTCTTTATTATTATACTAGTTTTAACTACGACTCAACCATGACAAATTTTATGACAAGTATTTTAAGAGACTATTTAACAACGATTCAACCATGACAAATTTTAGACTCTGCCCCCTAAAAGATGATCATCCTTTGATATTTGGTGACCTTAGTGTTTCTAGAAGGATTGGTTGTTGTTGTTGTTGTTTGTCTATTTAGAAAGGGAAATGGTGATTAAAACCAGATTATTTAGATTTAGATTAGAAAATCTGTTTGGTTAAAAAAGAGATAGAGAGTGTTAAGAGTCTCATGTCGGATAATATATGATCTGAACATGTTTTTATAAGTGGGAACAGTCTTCACCATACAAGTTGGTTTTATAGGAATGAGTTTGGCTCAAACCACGTTCTTAATAGAGAGAAAGTCATAAAAAAGGTTGACAATTGATAGGTAGAGAATGTCTTCCTAATTATTGTTGTAAAGACATCAAAAACCATGATGTCGCTCACAAGATTGCTGTCTGGTAGTAAATTGATATACCCATATCTTTGCCTCCTTTAAACTGAGAAAATCAATGGTTCATATTCTAACTACTCATGATTTATTATCTGCTACGGGTTCGTTGTTTTTTTTAAATATAATTATAAAATCAACTTTAAATAATTATAGTTAAAAAAATAATATGGAGGAATTATATTGTTCAAATGATACCAAAACATCAAAACTAAAATGTAATTTGTTTAAAAAATTTAAGATTAATAACATAAAAAAGCCACATTTGAAAGGTGACAATAATTTCATGAAGTTAAAGATTGTAATCTGAAAATTACATAGTAGAGCGACACAGGGAGACAAAAGTTTAAGACTATATATAATTTAGTTTTTAACTTATAAATAAATTAAAAACTTAAATTTTGCTCACTAAAATAGCCTAAAACTATATGGATCGAAGAAAAAAAATGCTTTTGTAGGTACGTGTATCAATCGTGTACGGTGTACCAACTCGCATACCAAACATGAAAAAATATATAAAAAATGGGTACGGACTTGGTATGTACCATACGCGTACCAATACCCGGCACGTACCCGAAATTGGTACTTTGCCTAAAATGGTGTACCTGTGCTTCACGGTTTATTATGTATATGCATTTAATACTCATCACTGATTTACTTATCAACATTGTTTATCACTTTAAAGGAGCCTCACCCTCCGTATGCCTTGTGCTTTTATTACATTTGTAAAGGATTCCTAAATCTTGTTTATCTTATGGTCTTCGAGAATGTTTCTTTGTTTGGGATTGGATTAATAGAAAAAAACTACAAAACTGTTAGGTATTATTCTTTCTTAAGTTGTATTGTTAGGCTTTTTGATATCTAGATCTTGTTATTAGTTCACATTGATTTATTTTGCAAGTGTTTCTTGTTGTCACATGTACTTGTTAATGCTTCAACATTTCCATGAGAGCTTTTGAGTTGGCATTACTAAGTTTCTCAGGTAATTTGATGTGCAGATGCTGAATTCAAAAATACAGGATTGGAAAGGTCGGCAAGTTTGGACAAAGATTTGGAGTGGTTCAAGGAGCAAGGTTATACCATTCCGGAACCTTCATCTCCTGGTCTTACCTACGCACAATATCTTACAGATTTGTCTCAGAACGACCCCCAAGCCTTCATATGCCACTTTTACAACATCTATTTTGCACATTCAGCTGGTGGTCGAATGATTGGGAAGAAGGTAACCATTTCATGTATGCTAAAAGAGCTTATATCATGTTTGAGTATCACATTGATTATGTGCACTAGGAGTATCTTTTGCAGGCCATAACTTAAGTTTCATGATAGACTTTATCTATGTGCCCCAACTACCCCCCCCGACAAAAGAGCACTTCAACAACACCATTTCATGATTCATATTTTCATTTTTCATGATAGAGATCTCCTTGGATGTGTTAAGATCATACTGGAGTTTTTGATGAAGAGGGAATGTCTTGACATTCTTGTACATGGTATTTGTGTCACACATGTACTGTACCATATGATTCATATCTCTCGGTATCAAAGACTATGTTTGGTGGTGGTACAGTTGACATGCTAATTGTATTCAAACAATATTTTGATTTCATGTGTACATGATTGGATTAGCATATTTTGCACTTAATAGAACTTTTCTCCCCAAAGCAGTTTCTGAAGCATTTTGGTTATAACCTGTTAAGAAATTTCAACAAGCAAAACGACTGAATTAGTTACAAGCTTTAAGTATAAGTATGGTCTTTTGCTACTTTTTGGTAGATATGTAAAGTTTCCTAGGGAACATCATTCTAACAACTCTATAGATCCTCTCTTTATATTAGTATGAAGTAAAAGATTCAGTATATGTACATTTTGATGCTTTCTGTCATTTTCACCTGATGCAACAAAAACTAATAATTATTGTTGCCTATGCATTTGATATCCTTACAGATTGCTAGTCAGTTACTTAACAACCAGGCTTTGGAGTTCTATAAATGGGATGGTGACCTTTCGCAGATGTTGCAGAACGTGAGAGACAAACTGAATAAAGTTGCTGAAGTATGTTTCGTAAAATCTCTTAATCATTTGCATATAAGTTTATTTCGAATGCTTCATGTCTAGACTGCAATGGCTAACATGTTAACTTTCAAATTTTGAGTTATTGGTGATGAATATACTTTGGTAATTTTTTGTTGTTTCTTCAGGAATGGAGTCGAGAAGAGAAGAATCATTGTCTGGAAGAAACAGAGAAGTCATTCAAGTTATCTGGAGAGATTCTGCGTCTAATACTATCCTGATACTCTGGCCCCAACCCAACTATGTGTAATTATATGTGTTGATAGTGCATGGCGGAAGCCAATGCTAATAACATTGTTATTTTACATAAATGTTAATAGGTGTTTATCTCTGAATGGATCTTAGAGAATGTGTGGTTCTGATCTTTAAAGTAATGAGTTATGATTTTAACGTTGTAAAATCTATTTCAGAGATATGATTCTGATGTTGGTGTCTATGCTCCAAAATTAGGAAAATTGTTCATGAGATTTCATCATTTCTTTGCTTGTGTGCTAGCTTTTACGATTTTGTTTCCTTCCCACTTTCATTTATTTGTGTTGCTTAATGATACATTTACCTCTCAAAGTTCTGTCCTTAGTGTTATCAACTCAACTATCAACACTTCAAAAAAATATTGACCAATTTTACTTAACTGCCATTTCCTTTAAAAAAAATTATCTTTCATATTGGACACAACAGTAATCAACTAAATGACAAAATTAATCTCTTTCATAGCCCTCTTTGCATGCCAAATGTCACTCATCCCTTGGTTGTTTTCCTATTCTTTAGATGATTTTAATTCAGTTTTTCTATTTACATTTCTCTCTCTTGCCTATCTCTCTTCCGTGTTCTCTCTTTCTCTCAAAACCCTAGACCGCCTCCGTCTCCTTTCTCTACTCTATCTACGACCATCACCGCCTTTAATGGAGAAACCAAAGTTATTTTCTTGCTCATCTCTTCATGCTCTATTTAGAAAGCTAAACATCTTTTAGATCAGAGAAACGTTATCGAAAAATCCTTTTTGATCTCCATCTTCAGCCATTCAAATATGAACGGTATCTCCTTTGCTTTACTGATTTTATGTTTCTCAATAACTTTTTGTTGATTTACTGCTCTTTACTTTTCATGGTTGTTTCACTTTTTTTCATGTTTTCATGTCAACAAAAATCAAAGCCTATTTGCTTCTTATCATCATCTTCAACTATGTGTTTGTGTTTCGTTTCACTTTCGATTTATTCTCTTTGCGTTTTGTTTCTCTATGTTGTATGAATCTTGCTTCTTCTACATTTCCATGCTTTTCATCGCAACTCACAACGTAACCTTTACATGTATGGTCTGTTTCAAAATTTTTAGTTTCCATACAATGCCTTTTCTGCTTTTTTTCCCACTCCTATGCTACGGATATTTGGTATGATTTCACATACACCACACAACAATGGTGGACTTTGAATAACCCGATTCAAAGAACGTTTCCAGACAAATAGAAATACAATCCTTCCTATTTGCAAACTCTTGTAAAAATTACAACAAATTTCTTATAGATACAAATTACTATACACTTGGTGAAAAATACAACAACTTGTATGAAAAATCTTGTAGATGGACTTTGTCGCAACCTTGGTCAACTTTGAGATTTTGCTACTATTCTAAGATATGAAAATTCAATATTCTCTTTCAATGAAAAAATCAATATGATATAAATATTTAAGTTCTCAAGTGTTTGCCTAAATATTTTCACATAAAAAGCAAAACTATGCAAGATTTTTTTTTTGTTAAAAATGTTACCAACACTTGAAAAATAGTAAAAATGTTCATGAAAAAGGTGTCATGCAATATAATATTTTATTTTATTTTATAGTCACAAAGAAACCCTTTAGAAATCATGGCAATATTTGAAAATAGTCAAAATAATTATGCAATGATTTAAGAAACTGTTTCATGAAAAAATGTAACAAAAAGATATTGTGATGTTACAGAATTTTCAAAATGATGTATGGTCTAATTGATTGGGGTATTTCATACAATCAATTGGCACTAAATGTAACTTTAAAAAATATGCAATGTTATGAATTAAATCCATGAAAATTTTCAATTGAAGATGTATCACGATGTTTAAGATTTTTTAAAAACAATGAGGGTACAAATGATTGTACGTAAATGCAACGTTTAACATTTTGAAAAAAATATAAATATCCAATCGAGTGCGGGGAACATTTCAAAGAGAAAAAAAAATCCATACAATTTATTTTGGGGAATATGAAAATCGATTGAAACCTTTTAAAACGAGCGCTTTCAAAGTCAGTAACCAAGTGACAATTGATAGTGGCATATATGACAATCGACTGACATGTTTGAAAACATCAAGTTTCTTTAGTTTTCCAAAACTTTCATGAATGAAAACATGATTTAAAAAATACTTCTAAAACACTAAATAAGATTTAAGATGAAGTGAAATACTTGAGAGCTAAATGTATAACCAGTAAATTAATTTGTCATAAGTACTTTGGTCAAAAGAATAATTCCATGACTTAGCACATGAACAGATGACTCAAATATTTTTCTTCTTTGTTATCTTTTCCATGATAATATAATCTCTTCATCAAAACCAATACTTCCAAATACAATTAAATCTTTTTCACAAATATGTTTTTGTGTGTGTGTGTGTGTGTGTGTGTGTGTGTGTGTAATTTAGCCATGAACATTTACAAAAATGCTCTTCTGCTTTACAGATTTTTCACGCAGACTAATTAAGGTAGGGCTTTTTTGCATTTCAGGAATTTGTCAAATGATTTATTTCTTGTAGACACCGACTTGAGTTTGCTTGAGATGAGGCTTGAGCTTATATTCCATTTGATTTCCATCTTCGAGTAGTCAAGTCCATCAAACCATAATAATTAGGTTTTCATGTTTATCTATTTAACCGATTATGTTTGACCTGTAAGGAGACATTAGCTGTCATCATTAAAAGTTGTTGTCCTTGTTAAAAATATATCACCTACAAAATCAGGTTCCACATTCTACTTCTTTTTTAATATGACAACACGTCTCTTAAGAGAGGTCGTAAAATAAAATAACACATGTATGTTTGGAGTAATTAAACTCCCTCTAAGTTAAATAGAGAGTATATTCTACTCCCCCAGGGAGTATACTTCTCCTCTTTGATCAAAATTAAAAAGGTGGGTAAAGATGCTTCGCGAAAAAATAAATATGCAAATAAAATAACACATGTATGTTTGGAGTAATTAAACTCCCTCTAAGTTAAATAGAGAGTATATTCTACTCCCCCTGGGAGTATACTTCTCCTCTTTGATCAAAATTAAAAAGGTGGGTAAAGATGCTTCGCGAAAAAATAAATATGCAAATAAAGAATTTAGAAAAGGAAAAAAAATTGTATTTTTTTAAAATATAAGATGCTTAGAATTCAAAGTACAAAAATGGAAATGACTGAATTGAAAATATTAGAAAATAAGTAAATAATAAGAAGTATTAAGCACATAGGTGAGACTATTTTATGCCATAATATTATTATTCTCTTGAGATCATTTTCTTAATCTTATTCACGTCTCTTGATATGCTTTGGAAAATTTCCCTAACTTATTTTATATTTATGTCTTTTATTTCTTCTATATCTTTTTCTTTATTAGTCCAGTCTTCCCTCTGTTCTTCATATACGTTGATCTTCGTGTCTCTTAGACTGATATAGTCAATCTTATTGTTGGGTGAAATTTATTTTTCCCTTAGGGTGTCATTGTTTAATGTTCTTAAGACTCTTATGATCATTACTCCATATAGAAGGTCTGCTGAGGTTTTTCTTTTGAGTAGGACATGTGAAAAATATCCTATCTATCCAGTTTTTTGAAATTTTTTATGTAAGAAGCCAAAGACGGATAATATCATCTTTGATAACATAGTCGTTATTGATATTTCTTGGGAGCAAGATTATAGTTATAAGATAGTGAATGATTCAAACTTTTGGTTTTAAGAGGGTTGTTCTAAAAGGAAATTTTCGTTTCTCTATGGGGTTGGTAACAAGAGTGTTTAAGGCTACATAACGTTTGAAGTTGTTGAGATCTAAGGGTATCTTAGATTTGTAGGATGTTCCTAGGAAGGGTATTTCAAACATTCTTGCAAAGTGTTCTCTGTGGATTACTATTTTTTACATTCTTTAGTGATGATGTCAGGGTTTTTCTAAAGATATTCTGGTTTGTGTAGAATTATTGTACAAGGTTTGTGTAAATAATTCTATTAATGAGACTTGATAGATGTGAGAATAAGGTTTATAACCTCGCATGAAGGTTTCGTCCCTAAACAATGTTTCTATGATCTTTTTCTCTGGGATCATCTTATTGTCTTCTTTCTTTTTATTCATTATTGCAGCCATGATGATATCTCTTCTTGGTGGCATTTTGGATTTTGATTTGATGAGACCATGATAATAATTATAGCTAGAAAAGGAACTCACACAAGAAAATATGCACGAAGGTATGAGATGCAAGAAATAGTGGGAAGTATACATATTTATAGCATGTCATCTGAAGATTTGATAGTGTATTCCAGGCAAGTATTCAATATAGATTATATTGATTGAAAATCAAATCAAAATATTTCCAGATTAAGTGTGTTAATCGATTAGCTAAGGGCTTTAATCGATTACTTGGCCAGATTTGTCAGGATTTTGTGTAATCTTCATCAATGATAGGATTTGATTTGCTTGAGTCACGAGTTTTGCTTGGATTTGATCTAAAAATATGCTCGCAGAGCTCTTCTAATCAGTTGTCATAATGTGCTAAGCGATTGGTGTTACATGGCTCAACCTCCTTGGTGCATGTTGGGCCTTGTGCTGGATTTTTCACTTTTCTAAAACCCCATTTATCATTATTTGCACCCCTTTGCTATAAAACACTAGAATGCTTATATTTTTGGTTAGAAAAATAATTTATTTAGATGAAAAAAAATTAATTCATTATTTGAAGGGTTTAATCTGATTTTTCCGATAATTTTCACATTAAAATAATGTATACCTCTTTAATTAAGAATTCTTGAAAAATACCTCCTTAAAAAGGGAAACACCGATATACTATGGTGTATTCTTCTCTACACATTGTTGGATGCGATAATTGACATAAAAAAAAATATGAATAAGTCCACTACAGACATATCCATTCATTTAATCACTAAGGACCATAAACTATTCTCAACAAATTTACTTTGACCAAAACTGTTGACATTTTCCATCATCGTT